AAACCGATAAGAAATACAAAAGTTATCATCTTTTAAAATACATTTACAATTCAATAGCTAATTGAAGGAAACAAATCAAAAGTCAGGGATATATTAGTCACTTAGTGTCTCGCTATGTAAAATTACAAGGAATTAAAGGGTTATATTAGTACAAGTGATATTAAAATATCTAAGTTAGCTAAATAATATTTATGGAATGTCCAAACCTAGATTATTAATTATTAATATATTAATATTATTTGTCCAAACCTAATTACGAAGCATGATTCTTCGCCAAGTAGGATTCCGAAGCACCAAAAACAGCCACGTAGGCTCAGCGCATTCGGGGAATTATATATAGGGAGGATTTTAAATGGTTATCTAAGTTATATATATTGAATAAGGTGGAGAAAGGAAAGATTTAAAGTTCAAATCTTGCGATTCATCTATATGTATATAGAAACAAGTGTATATTGAATAAATATATATGAAGAAACGAATGCTTTAATGTTCATCTTGCGATTTATTTATATGTATAAAGAAACGTGTAAATCACATTTTTTTGTTCGAAACGATAGAGATTTTTATAAATAGAATGCACAAATGTGCAAAGATACAATCCCTAGCTGACTAATTCAACCAACAATGGGAGGACATATCTGAAGATCGCATAGAATCTGATGCTAGCAACGCTATAAACCATTCGGCAACACACACAACACAACAAGCACTACCGACACTGCAAAGCTCCCCAGAGGAGATTGACAGATCCCAACAGGATAATACCCGCTTACACTCGGGCACACAGAGATCAACGACCCAAACCAAAAACACAGACTCCTAAACAAACAACTAAAACAAAAACAGACACACCTAAACAGAAAAATAAATACATAAATAAATAAAATCACTGAGCCCTTCCACAAAAATCAAACCGAACCCAACAAAAAGCACTGGTGGACAAATAGTCGACTCCAAAGAGAAATCTGCAATTCGAGTATCTGCTCCCCTCCCGAAACTGTCGGAACTGCCTAATTGAAGCTGAAACCCAAACTACGAATCAAACCAAAAGACTACCGGAACCAGCCTGAGCACACCTATCCCGCCCTTCCCCCTCTCCCCCTCCCCCCATACCACCGCTACTCCGACCCCTGCTAACACCACTAACCAAGGCGGCAGTATCGCCCCAGAAATCAGACCCAACACAAAAGTCCAAAGGGGGAAAATGAGCAAGATAGGTATGGCAGCCCGGTAGCCCTGTCACAAATGACACAGGCCACCCGGACCACGTCGAGCCTAGGAATCCGCCCACCACTAAGACCCACTGCATCGCAAGGGAGGCAAACGACCGAAGCCACGAATCGACACCAGAATCGGTGAAGACCGGTCGTGAAGTCAGCCTGCGACCACCAGATATAGACGAACTCAAAGGAGCGCGCATTGAGAACAAGGTCGTGCTGCCAAGAGCCGACCACCGGCAAAGGGCCCAGCTATAGCTGAGGAAGGTAGCCGGATGAAGAGATGGAGGAGCGAAGGCGGCTGAGAGGGTTAGGGCGAGAGAGAAATATGGTTGAAAAGTATGCAATAAATCACATTTCCTTTGAAGATCAAACTTTGTATTTATCAATTTTATAATAGCACTTTTTTTTATAACTTGATTAGCTTAACCTCATTTTACGGAAGATTCGGTTCTATTC